TTAATAGGAATCTAGTGAGTATGTCACAGATGGTCTATAAAAATTCAAGGTCAGCTTCCTTTTCCAAAGATCACTGGTGATTATCATAGTGTCACAGTATGTTAAGGGGTTGAAATGGAGCTTAGTAGATCATCGAGCTCCAACCCCCTGCCCTGGGCACGGACACCTCCCACCAGAGCAGGTTGCTCAAGGCTTTATCCAACCTGGCTTTGAAGACTGCCAGGGTTGGGGCATCCACTGCCTCCCTGGGCAACCTGTGCCAGTGTCTCACCACCCTCACAGGAAAAAAATTCCACCTAATATCCAATCTAAATTTCCTCTCTTTCAATTTATCCCTGTTACTCCTTGTCCTATCATCATAGTTCATAGCAAAGAGTCTGTCTCCAGCTTCATTGTAGTCCCTTCAGATACTGGAAGATCACCTGTGATTGCTCATTTTGAACTGAGGCATGGATAGAGTCTGCTTTTAGTAGGAAAGAGTTCTCCTGTTCTCGGAACTCACGGTGTTGTGTCATGTGGTGGCAGGTCGCTTGATGCGCTGTGTGCGTTGTCCGGTCGCTTATCACTCCAACGACTTCTGCCTCGCTGCTGGCTCTGTGGTCCTTGCCTCCAACAGCATCATCTGCCCCAACCACTTCACTGCTCGGAGGGGCTGCCGCAACCACGAGCACGTCAACGTCAGCTGGTGCTTTGTCTGCTCAGAAGGTGAGATGGGCTGTGCTGGGTCCCCTGTTGCCAAGGAATGCCCTGAAGGGAACTCGTTAGGGAAGGCAGAAGCTTTTACTGTCCAGAGTGTCCCAATGATAACTGCAAAGAAGAGTCTACCTTCCTATCCATCCATGTTTTAGTCCAGCTTCTGGCTAGGATCTTCTCTGGATCCTTAGAATCATAGAATCATCAAGGTTGGAGGAGACCTCTAAGATCAAGTTCAACCATTAACATGACACTGCTGTAACCCCTAAACCAGATCCTCCAGTATCAGATCCAGACACCTTTTAAACACCTCTAGAGGCAGTGACTCCACCACCTCCCTGGGTAACCTATTCCAGTGCCTGACTAGCCTAACAGTGAAGAAAGTTTTCTACTCTGAATCTCCCTTGTCTCAGCTCAAGGCCATTCCCTCTAGTCTTCTCCCTGTTGCCATGGCAGTAGAGACATTCCCCACCTCTTTCCAGCCCTGTCAGGGAGTTGCAGAGAGCCATGAGGTCACCCCTGAGCCTCTTCTCCAGATAAATCAAGCCCAACTCCCTCAGCCCTTCTCCATGTGCTCTGCCCTTTGCTGCCCTCGTTGCCTTTGGCTGGACTCGATGGCCTTTGGGCAGTGAGTGCCTAAAGCTGAGCCTAGCACTGAGCTGTGACCTCCCCAGTTCTCAGTCCAGGGGGATGAGCACTGCCCTAGTCCTGCTGCCACAATGGTCTTGAGCCAGGCCAAGATGCCCTTGGCCTCCTTGGCCACCTGTGCACACTGTTGGCTCATACTGAGCTATGCCACCAGCACTCCCAAGTCCCTTAAAAGGGTTCTTTTTGTAGCATGAGTAGGGCCTAACTTTTGAAAAGGGCTTGCAGGAGCACATCATTCCCTTTTTTCAGCTGTGCCTGGAAGTGTGGAGTCCAGAGCTTCTGCACAGTGACTGATAAATTCCTCCTTTTTCTCTTTGCAGGGGGCAGCCTTTTATGCTGCGAGTCGTGCCCAGCTGCATTTCACCGTGAGTGTCTAAACATTGAGATGCCAGAGGGAAGCTGGTATTGTAATGATTGCAAGGCAGGCAAAAAGCCACACTACAAAGAAGTAGTCTGGGTGAAAGTTGGGCGCTACAGGTAGGTGAAGGTAGAACAGCCTTGTCCCCATCCCTTCTTCATGCAGTGCTCATTGTGATTGAGGTGAGAAGCAGCAGCTTCTCTCTGCAGGGGTCAGTGCAGCAGCCTCTGGCTTTTTTGCATGCACACAGCAGCTGGTAAACATGAGCTTTCCTCCTCCAGTAGCCTCTTGTCTCCCCACCGGCCTTGCTGGTAGCCCTCACACACTTTTCCCCATGTCTTCAAGCATTAGCATACTTCTGAGGTCGCTGGAAGTGGGGACGCCAGAGGTTACGTCTGCCCTTCCCTGTGTTGCAGGTGGTGGCCAGCTGAGATTTGCCATCCTAGGACAATTCCTGTCAACATCCAAAAAATGAAACATGACATTGGTGAGTTCCCTGTGCTGTTCTTCGGCTCCAAGGATTACCTATGGACCCACCAGGCTCGTGTGTTCCCTTACATGGAAGGTGATGTCAGCAGCAAAGACAAAATGGGGAAAGGCGTGGATGGCATATACAAGAAAGGTAACTTGTCTTCATCCAAGGAAATAAATGTTCTATTCCTCTTCATTCCCATTTGGAGAAGTGGCGTTCTTGTAGCAGAGAAATGTCTTCATATAACTGAAGTGAAATGAAATTTGTAGGATGAGCTGCTGCTTGTCTGTCATCCCACGTGCTCAGAATATTCGTTTGCCTGACTCCTAGGGAGAGGGAAGGGTGTACAGATCATAAATGCTTCTCCAGCTCTGACATAACCACTCCAACTCCAAGTGAGCTGCTGCTTTGTCAGCTTCCCTCTGTCTAATACAGTCATTACCTCGATGTAAAAATGCACTTGAGAGTTGTGAATGCAGCTGCCTGACACCTCTGCCCAAGAGAGCAGGCGAAGCTAGCTGACACTTGGGATGCTTCACCATCATGGGCAGGTCCCTGACTCTGTAATTCCTGTGGCTGCCCTGCTGTACTGGCCTTTTCTTCACCCCCTCCAGTGAACCTTGGTCTCTGGAATACACAGCCAGTCTGGTTTGCTCGTGGAAATGTGAGGACAGGGTGGACAGTGGCAGCCCAGCTCTCTGTGAGCAGAGGGAGTTTCTCCTAACACAGCCTGTTCTCTCACTTAGCTCTCCAGGAAGCTGCTGTGAGATTTGAGGAGTTGAAGGCACAGAAAGAACTGAGACAGCTTCAGGAAGACAAAAAGAATGACAAGAAACCTCCTCCCTACAAACATATCAAGGTGAGGGGAGGTGGTGGGGGGTAGGTGCGGAAGAGAAGCCTTGAGCTGTCGGTGCAGGTGATTCACAGGTATACAGAAATGTTTCCACTGTTTGGGTGTCTGGCTGTATTTGTAAGTTACTTTGGTCCTCTTGGCATCTTAGTTGTCCTCCATAGAAAGGATTCATGTGTATGCTCAGAGCTTCATGGGCACCAGTAATAGGTGCTGTGATTTAGTGGAACAGATACAGACATGTCTGTGCTGTCCATGTCATTGTGTGGTCTGAAGGAAGTGTCTCTCTACCTTAAGAACGTAGGGGAGAGTGCTAGTAATGCCCAGTGTGCTCAAATGCTGCATGCTGCTGCTGGCAGGGTGGGCAAACTGGATGGTGGAGGACAGGACATGGTCTGGGGGCAGTTCAGGGTAGAGAGTGATAACCCACAGTATCTTGTATCATCTCTGTATTGTTTTCATCTCTTTCTGTGTCAGTTGGTGACTGAACAGAAATGCTAAAGCAGGTGTAGATGCTGGAATATCAGCCCTTTTCCTGAGTTTTGTGGAACTGTTCATGTTAAGGGCTGTATTTTGAGTTAGAACTGGAGCAGTAACAGAAATCCTACAGGATGGAGATGACTTGAGAGGAGAGCCAAGCAGCTGCCTGTGCTGGTGATGTGGGTCCTGATTGACCAGAAACTCATTGACTCAGGAACTGTGTTGTTTTTTCAATGCTTCCATCTGTTCCTTCCCTTTTTATGTGGCAAACTAAAGAAGCTTTACTGATTGCTGGCACTTTTTATGTCTAGCTAGGATTTCTAGGCAAGCAGGTATATCTTGCATGAGTTACCGTACGGTGTAAAAAGCACAATCTAATGCTGTGGCAGCAGTATGGGCCAGGCAGCTTTGGTGGAGGAAATAGTTTCTCATTACAGCTATTTTTAGGCCTGTCTCTGGCCGCAACATGAAGGAACTTTGGAAGCAGTTTGGAGCCTTTGAAATACCCTTTTAGTATAAATAATAACTGTTGTGGTCATTAGTCATGGCAGCTCGTCTGAGGTCTGGGTGCAAGCTGTTTGTCTCTGAAAGCAAAGCAGTTTGCAAGAGCAGACTGTGAACTAGAGAAAGCTTCAGGGTGGAATGGCTGAAGCTGGTTGTGTCCACTTCTGTCCTTCTAAGGAGATCAGCACCTTGAGGTCCATCCCAAGGAGCACCAACATGAGAGGCTGCTGCAAAATACACTTGGGATCCTTCATCACATCAGGGTTGTGGCTAGTCCAGGCATCACCCGGTATTGTTCCAGCAGGTGTGCTGGGCATGTGTGATGCAGTGCCAAAGCGGTGCCAGTGGTGGACTGACCTAATCCTGTGAGCTTCAGCACTCTTAGTGAGGTGATGAGTCTGGGTAAGAGATGGGAAAAAGCAGAGGAGAGCATAAGTGCCAAGGCAGGTCAGAGGTGGGAGGCAGTACTAGAAGGCAGCAGGGAGACTGTTGAAGAGATTAATGAGGGATTTCTGCAAGGTTTGCTTTAAAACAAAGGAGGAGGATCAGGTCTGGGCTTCAGGCAGGCTGTCAGTGCAGAAACTCTGCGCTGTGGGCGGGACTAGATAAATTATATGGGGCCTGAAATAGTTTTGCTAAATGATCCCTTCCTTTCATGTTCTGGGAGAGGAAAAGGAGCTGATGGCTCACCTGGGGAAAGAACAACAAGGAGCTTTTCTTCAGTGTCTCTCTCCAAAGTCCTGACTCTCTGTTGCTGCCTTTCAGCGTTCGCTGCCTTTAACCAAACCCAAAGGACCCAGCTCATGGCACAGACACGCCAGTCGCTTCTCCACCTGGTGCTGCACTCTGCTTCCTTCTGGAGCGGTTTTTAGAGAGCTCCTTGGCTTAACTCTGAGCTCCTCTTTGGGCCTTCCAACCCCAGCCTTGTCTGGTTTGGCTTCCATTTACATCTGCAGGACAGTTGGGTAGGGAGGTAACTGCGTGGTAGGCTCTGTCACAGGAGTGCCTGCCTGGTTCTCATAGTCACAGCTGAGAGCACAAACCAGCTTGATGGTAACAGATTCAAAAACCAGGGCAAGTAAGGAAAAGCTAAGGAAAAGCACCTGACACTCAGACTGGAGAAGGTGCAGTTTGATGCAAAAAGTGGTTTGGTGTCGATCATGGGTATGGTGTGAGCCCAGCTGGGCCACCTGAGCTGAATGTAGGCACAGTGGTGATGGGAGGGGGACACTTGGTAGCCACTTGTCCTGCCAGGGCCATGGAATTACACACTGCATCAGGTGATGCTAAAGGGGGGAACTTGCATCCTCTTGAGCTCTTCCCTCTAACCCTCTACCTCTTGAAACAGTGAGCCCAGAAGTACACTCATGTCCTGCCCCTCACTGTAGCTAACTCGCTGCAGCCCATCAGCTCGTAGGGAAGGGTTGGGTATAGAAGTGCCTTTGGGATAACCTGTTGTCCTCAAGAGCTCATGTCCTTCCTGTGCCTTACAGGTGAACCGACCCGTGGGGAAGGTGCAGATCTTCACTGCAGACCTGTCTGAGATACCACGGTGCAACTGCAAACCCACGGATGAAAACCCCTGTGGCCTGGACTCCGAGTGCATCAACCGCATGTTGCTCTACGAGTGCCACCCCATGGTGTGTCCCGCTGGGGAGCGCTGCCAGAACCAGTGCTTCTCCAAGCGCCAGTACCCCGAGGTGCAGATCTTCCGCACGCTGGCACGAGGCTGGGGCTTGCAGGCCAAAACTGACATCAGGAAGGTATGTGAGCTCTTTCTGCGTGTCCAGTCCTCTTGCTGCTCCTTTCTTGCTCAGTGCTGCTCTGCAAACTGTGTTTGAAGATGACTTGTTGCTGTAGGATGCCATTTAGAAAAGAAATGGATGAATTTAACTTTTCCAGTCATGACAGGAATGTTTTGGCTCAGCTGACCAAGGAAATGGTTTGCATGTTGATGTGCCACAGGGTAAGAAAGATGATTGCTCTGACTGTTTGTGTGGATGATGGGCTTTGAGTATACCAATCCTGACAGTGCTCAGGATTTCCAGATGAGGAACAGTGATTGATTATTCTTCCCCCCCATATAGCTAGGCTTTTCCAGCATCAGAATCTTGTATCAGAAACTGGAGCCAAGGCTTGGCTCTCAATGCCTTGGAGATGGTTGTTCTTGTTGTTGGATGTGGTACCTCCAGCTAAAACACTTGTGTAGAGTTTTTGAATCCAGAGCCTGATAGTTCTTTGGACATACATCTGTGCTGAATGGAGAAGGAAGAGTGTTAAGGCCAAAATAACCTCAAAGCTAATAGTGAAGTGAAGCAGAGGATAATGAGTATAGAAGGAGAATAATATCTGGAAAAGGAGTAATGACATGATAGGAGTGAGGACTGGAGAGCAGGAGAAGAAAGTGAGTGTCATTTTGAGGCTTTGCTGCCTGCTGTGCCACAGGTTAAAGGATGTCTCTGCCATTCCATGCATCTGTTTCACTTTCAGCAGACAGTGTGGACACAGCAACACTCAGTTTTTTAGGGGAGGGACCCATTAGCACCACTGGAGCAGAGCTGGGGTTCCCTTTAATGGCTGTACTGTGGCCCTATAGTACCTCACTGCAGCGGAACTCTATGTAGGTGCACTAGGTGCATCATGCTGGTCCCCAAAGGGATATTGTTTCCAGCTGGAATGCAGTTAGGCAGTGCTTTGAGCTTTGCAGCAAAGAACTGTTCTTGTGGTTAACTTTTATGCTGTCCCTGGGTGTTCATTCTTTCCATAGCACAAAGAATAATCTGTTTATTTAATTTATTTGGAGTTATTTGTTGAGCGTGTGAAATAGATCTATGATTCAGGGTTCTTGGTGAAGATTATAGGTCAAACTGGCTTCAAAGCGCAGAGAGAGATTTTTAGGAAGCAAACAGGAGCTGAGTTTTAGCACAAAGGTGGATGCCCCTCCATCCTGGAGGGGATTTGTCTTGTCTTACCAGCTTGTCGTTTTCTCTCTGGCAGGGTGAATTTGTTAATGAGTATGTGGGGGAGCTGATTGATGAAGAGGAGTGCCGAGCCCGAATCCGCTATGCTCAGGAACATGACATTACCAATTTCTACATGTTGACACTGGATAAGGTATGTGGAAGGAATTTCTCTTGCCAGGATCCTAGACAGAAGTAAATAATTGCAAAGAAAAGTTGATAGTGATCTTCTTCAGGCAGTAAAAAGGCGCTAAGTGTTGCTGATGAAGCTGGTGTGCATTTCCTCTGAAGAGGTGACTAAATAAACTAACTTGACTTGCAGTAGAGAAGCTTCAGGTTGGCGGTTAGGATTAGGAGGAAAGTCTGAATAGACGACTCTGGAGTTTGTTCATAAGAGGTGAGGCAGTTGTCTGCGAACAGTTGAGTAGATCCTGTTTCCAGGTCTTGCTGCTCTCAGTAGTGTGATGGAGTTAGTTACACCCACAGACTCCTCGGTGGGTCCTGGGGACCAGGTTGTTTCTATGAGCTCCTGGCTGTCAGGGGTAAGTGGTTTTGTCAGCTGCTTTCCACCCTTTGTCCTGCAAAGAAAGATGAGAAAGAAACCATGAAAGCTAACATGAGAAGAAGCTGTTGAGTGTGGGACAGGATAACTTGTAATTGCTTTCTGTCTCTTCCCTCATCTTGCTGGATGTTCACACCATCCATATCTTGTTCTCCTTATCTAGCTGATGGGTGGGAGCAGAGGCAAACCCAAGTGTTGTTATCTCCCTCCTTATTACACAAGGAAATCTCAGTTGCAACTCCCTTTTGCAGTGCAGTGTAACCACTGTCAGTGTGCTGTGCAGATTTGTACCTCACCTTCCATGCTCTTCCTATTTTCCTGCTATACACTGATGTGCAAGAAATAGGAACTGATATTTTGCTTATAAGCAGAAGCTGAGGCCTGGAACCACAAGCACTGCCTTGGAAGTGTGCTGATGTAGTGTTTACCCAGTACTGAAGCCACAGGGAGAACTTGCTTCCCAGAAAGCAGCACTAGCACTGCCCTGGCTGTTTGGGAGCCTCTCTGAAGAGGAAGATGAAGTGCAGGAGACTATTGCCATATGATCTGGCAGTGCTGACCAGAGACATCAGTGTACAAAGATTGCTTGGCTGGCTGGCTGTTGATTGTCCAGACAACACAGCAACACATGTCACTGACACACACAAACTCAAGGGCTTTGCAGGTGCCTGTGCCAGACATCAGTGCCAATTAATGCTTTCTTGGTACACTGGCACCTGGGTGCAGCGGCTTGAGGAGGAAATGATTAAAATATTATTTTTCTGGGTTGTGGGGTTTGTTTTTTTTTTTTTTTCCAATTCCAGGATCGAATCATTGATGCTGGGCCCAAGGGCAACTACGCTCGGTTCATGAACCACTGCTGCCAGCCCAACTGTGAGACACAGAAGTGGTGTGTGAACGGCGATACTCGCGTCGGGCTCTTCGCTCTTGTAAATATCAAAGCTGGTAAGGAAGACTCTATCAATGCCTGCACTTAACCTGGGGTGTTCTGTAAGGAAATGGGGAGGGTTTGTAGCTCCCTGGTAAGATATTTAAGTTTCATTTTCACATGGGCATTAAAGTTAACACAGCACTGACATAATGAAACACATACAGCTCTGGGATCAATGGAGGGTTGTGGTTCTGACTTACAGAAATGACCCTGACACAGGAGGCAATGTCCTTTTTAGCTGTAGTGTGTGTGTGGCTGCACTGAGTTTTCAGTCCACACAGAACTATGGGGAGGTTAATAGTGTGGTGTCCTTGTGTAGTGGTGACAGTCATTTGTCTATATTTAAAACGTGCCTTTACTTCAGCACTAAAATGTTCTGCCCTGTAGTTCATTACAACCTGCTTGGTTTTGATCTGCTTTTGTGCCAGGGACTGAGCTGACTTTCAACTACAATCTGGAGTGTTTGGGAAATGGAAAGACCGTTTGTAAGTGTGGAGCCCCGAATTGCAGTGGCTTCCTAGGAGTAAGGCCAAAGGTATGATGATCCTTTCAGCTTTTGTTCTTCCAAATCACCTCTTCATCGGTTGCAGAGATAATCCTGTGTCAGTGTGGCCATGAGAACATTGCTTGGAACGAGTTAAATATTCAAATTGTCATTATGAGAGAGCAGATCTTAGACTTCAGTTGTCACAGTTGCTATAAATAACGCCAGGAAGTTTTATTTTACACCAAAAAAGATTTTACTTCCAGAATTTTCTGCTTCTTACCATGACAATTTGCATTGCACTGAAGGAGAAAAGGACAGGCATGGGAAAGACTTCATGGGATATCCAAGAAAACAGAACTCGGCTCGTTTCCCAAAGTAAAGACCTGAGTAAATTGTGAGCATGCATGGAAGGTCAACAAACTCACATTCCTTCAGACTGGAGTTGCTTTACAGCCAGAAGGGCTCTGACCTCACCATCTTTGCTGCAATAAGAAACTCCCTGGTTTTATCCATCTTTGAATTAACTGACTATAGTTTTCACATCAGACAGGACTAAGAAATTTGCCATATCTGTAGTAGAAAAAAATCAGTGGCTTTTGGAACGACCTGACTTTTTTGAGAGCTTCGATTGTAACTGTAATGTTGCAGTAACAGGAATTGATTGCAATTACCTCCTGGTGTGAGCTGGTTCTCACTGGGAAAAGGAAACAACAGGAGCAGTTGGCTGAGTTCCCAGCAGTCACCCTCTAAACCCGTGTCTCAGCTGTTGTTTTGTTTCAAGTGCTTCACCGAATCAGTCTGTAATCCCTCTGCCCTGGCATGTGGATTCTGGCAGCTTGTGTGCCCACAGTTAAGGGTTAAAAGCTCCAGCAGCAGTTGTTCAGCCCCATCAATATAGAAGGAAGGTTTTGTGAATTCTCCAGGGAGCTTAGTTCTGCAGGAAAAAATTAACTGATATAAAAAAAAATAAATTGATGTCTTCAGAAGTTGACAGATGAGGTGAATTACACGTCTGATGTATTTAGTTCATTTTTTGGCGTTGTGATTTTTAAAGTTCAATTGATTTTGTGCTGCTTCTGTGTTATACATGGTTTGACTGTCATTTTTGCCTTGAAATTGCAGGTTGCACAATGGAAATCAGAGAAAGGTGCCCTTTAGTTGGCATTAATGTTCCGTTGTGATGCCTGAGGCAACTCGTTCCATCTTGATGAGATGGGCTAAGAAACAATACCCGAGAAAACAGTGCCTTGGGGTGGTTGTTTTTCCAAATTCCTCTCATGGTAGATGCATTTTTAAGCTTCCTGAAGATACAGCAAGACAAAACTGATTAGACTGAAGTTCACTCTTAAAAGTGTCCTTTCTAACTGGGAGTGATGAAGAATTCTTGGGAGTCTTTTGTACTGCTGGGAGCAAGTGGAAATCGCTTAGTCCAGCTGTTAGACCTCTCTTAGATATTCAAATTAGCTGTTAAGGAATTTCCTTGTTCTCTTTGTAATTAGATGACTGAGGTACTAGAGTGGAATAGTTTAGGTGGAGGCAATTCAGTGCCTGCATTTTCAGTGATAAGAGAGGCCTGGCTTGTCCCCATTGTCAAGGGGAAGAATGGTATGAAAACAAAGATCCACACGTGAAGGGGAAGGAAACAATCAAGAGATGTAACTCATTTGTGGCAGAAAAGCTTGGATAACCAACTCTGCAGAGTTCTGAAATTGTAGGTTTGGAGACAAAGGGAATTAAGTGTTTTGGTGATGAAAGTAGTGCCCACTATATATGTAAAGGATGCAAAAAATCACCTCACAGGCATCGTCTCAGCACACAGATGTTCTGCAGGGAGAACACATATTTGGACACGATGAGATGTAGAAAATGGCATAAAAATTAGCTTATGTCTGCTTAGATTAAGTAAACTGATAGTGCTTTGATAAGGTCAAGACTGGGAACATTATCTGTGTCAGCTGAGTACTTGGCAGAATGAGAGGATCAGTGCAGGAGTTAGGAGTGGTCTGAGGACCTGGCTTGAAGGGAGGGTGGGGGGAGCAGCTTTGAAGGAAACCTTAGGCCAGAGAAGAGCACTTAAGCTCCTAAGTTGCTTATCTTGAGACCAGTTGTAGTTATTTCATTACACAGTTGTAATTTAACTGCACTGATGACACAACAATGTCAGTTGTCATCAGCATGGGAGAGTGGGAGGATGGGGCAGTTCCAAAGGAATAGCAGTATAATGGGATGGCTTGGAGTTCAGAGATGGGAGGTGCCATAGTATACACCTGGAGGGTCGCAGCAGAAACAAATCTGCCATGAGAAGGTCATGGCTGAGCAGTTGTGGTGGAGAAGGAGCAGTTGTGCAGCTCAGCTGCTGCAGGACTGAGCTTTATTTTGTTGTGCAGCTGTGGAAAAAGCAGGCGTGGGTGGTGCTTCAGGGGGCGTTTCTTGTTCTTTTGGAGAAGTGTTGATGTCGCTGTACACAGCCTCTTGGGGTGTCATGTGAAGTAGAATCTGTAAGTTCTGTGTGGGGTAAATAAACTCAATAGTGGCAGAAAAAAGCCATTGGGAAGACTGAACATGCACACTGAGAAAGTTTCGGTTAGTGAGGAGGAGAGTGTGTCACAGAGGTTACCTAAGGGAGAGAGAAAATAGTTCAAAAGTTGGACTCAGTGTTCTTGGAGGTCTTTTCTGGCCTAAATGATTCTGTGATTCTGGTGGAAAAGAGCAGCATTGGCACAAGAACAAACAGGGTTAAACTGGTCACAGATGAATTCAAACTGGAAATGGAGAGGGAAGTGATTAACATCCAAAAGTGCAGGAAAGCCCTGGAAAGAGACTCCGGGTCTCCTTGCTTCCAGTCTGGTTCCAGACTGAGGACCTGCAGAATCTGTCAAGTGATACAAGCTCAGTGACACCAGGCAGCCCCAGCTCCTCATTCTACTGTTGCTAGTGATATATATTCCATGTTGAACCAGGCTGAGAGCTCTTTGCTCTAGCAAATTGGTTGTCAAATACTGAGCAGCACTAGAGATGCTGCACAGGGTGCAGGCACGGCTGGCAGTGGGATTGCTGTTGGCATGGTTTGCAGTTCTCCAGTGCAGCAGGAAGGGAGCAGGTGGAAGGGGCAGAGCCCTGCATTAACATGTTGTCTCCCCCACAGAGCCAGCCCAGCCTCACGGAGGAGAAGTCCAAGAAGCTCAAGAGGCGGCCGCAGATGAAGCGCAGGTCGCAGGCAGAGGTGATGAAGGAGAGAGAGGATGAGTGTTTCAGCTGCGGGGATGGAGGGCAGCTGGTTTCTTGTAAGAAGTCAGGTTGCCCCAAGGTGTACCATGCAGACTGCCTCAACCTGACCAAGAGACCTGCAGGTCAGTGCTGTGCATGGCTGGGCTCTGCTTGGCTCACAGGGTTGGCTCAAGGTGTCCCAGGTGCTGCTCATCACTTCGCACTCCCTTTGCAGCATCTTAACATTTAGAGAAGTCTTTCTCACTTGAACAAGTGTGCCCAAACGATTCAATCCTGGTTGAGTTTGGATAAGCCTGTGTTCACCTCACTGTGAACACAAAAAGATATACTAATTGCTGAAGGGGGAGCTGGTCCTTGCCAAAGAAATGGTGATTGTGAGCTGACTCCCATCCTTGGGGCCTAGTAAAGCACAGTCCCAGCAGTAGTTGAGATGTTGGTCCTCAGAGTGGCTGTTGCCCTAAAGTTGAAGACAATTGAGTGAGATAAAAGCTGAGGAGAAACACTGGTGGAAAATAGGAGTAAGAAAACAACCTATGTCTAAATATGTCTAAATAACCATGAGTTCATAGTAAAGAGAACAGTATCAAACCATATCCTCGTTTGTGGTGAAATGAGGACAGAAATTTGAAATAAAAAGAAAGAAAAAGTACTTGCAGTTGGGTGCAGAGAACAAAATAGGCTCCCTGTATGAGTGATAAAACAGCTCTGAGTTCATTAGTAGCTCAGGAGGTGTAAAACAACATCTATTAGAGGGAAAGATTTAAGTTGCATTTGCTGCTCGAGAGAAGTATTTCAGTTTGTTTTGGTTGGGAGTTTGTGCAACCTTTAACAAGTGTTCAGGTTTAACCAATGCTCAGAAAGGCAGAAAGTCTGGCCTGAGTCTTGGTAGGTCAGTTAGCCTGATGTCTGCCAGATTAGGAGGATGGAAAAGCTGATCAAGTGCCTCGATTAAATGGTAAGAATATAAACAATACCAGATGACAAGTTTTTAGCTAGAACAACTCATCAAACTTAATTGAGTTCTTTTGCTAAGATAATAAATTTAATTAATAAAAGCAATTGCACTGAATGAATTTGTTTAGTGGGTTGTAGATCTTTTGATCTAATCCTGAAAGCATTCAGAAATTCTCTGTACAGCTCTGTAGGGTATTTCCTGAACAGATTGGAGGCTGGAAACATGGAACTGAGCAGTTCCTGAAAGTGACAGCCAGGAGAGTCACTGCCAGAGTGTTTGTCTATGCCACGGGAGCCAGGACTGAGCATTCAGCACCTCCAGCTGTAATTTGGCATGAGGTGTACAAGGGTTAGTGGCATGTTTTGTAGAGCACAGAAATGAGGTGTGTGCCTGTGTTAAGTTTTGGAGAGAACAGGGCTTTTCTCCAGAAGAGCTTGGGTGGCTCATTGAACAGACTCTCAGAGCAGTGTGAAAGCCAGTGGGAGGGCAGGTCATCCCTAGGGAGTCATGATTCGGGGTGAGGGAATACACCTGAATACACCTCTCTGTGCATTTTATGTGCTGTAACATCCTGGCAAGCTTTCCTGTGCTTTGAAGTCTAATAGGGGAGAATCCAGCCTTTAGCCTCTTCCTCTGCTTTCCATTTGAAAAGTCTGTTCTAACAGCCTGACTTGAAAGCACAAAGGATTTCCAGCTCTCTGATACACATTTTTTTACATACTGGGAGGCTTGTCTCAGTCCTTTCTGGCTTATCCAAACACAACCTCTCACTGCAGCTCCTGTTTTCTAAAGCTTTTATTCTTGGCCTGCTCTGGACTGTATCCCACTTGCCTACACATTTTTCAGACTGTGGTACAAGAGTGTTTTAACTGCATTGCAGCCAAGGCCTTGTAGCTCAGACAGAAGAGAATAGTTACATTTTGTGCTTTATGTAAAATGTCACAGAATGTTATATTTTACTTATTTTGCAAAAATATCTTTTATATTTATGTGATGTTTGTGATTTGCCTTATCATACTGGAGTCTCTGTCTTGATCCTTTTCACATGTTTATTTCATTTCTCCCTCCTGCAATCCTGCTTAGCACTGGTCTTTATTTAATCACACCTTATTGGTGCAAGAGCATGTGTCCAGTTTAAATTCTGAGCCTGTCCAACTGGATTTTTGCAATCCCTCACAGCCTTGTTGTTAGCTACCTGCTTCTATAAGAGTATTTGCTGTTCTGCTTCCACAAATTTAACTTAAAATACAGATTACAGTATACTCCTGAAGGATGTCACTTGAAATGTGTCCTGAGTTTCCCACAAGACCATTAGTAGCTGTTTTTTGAGAATGATTTTCAGTCAGTTGTAGCAATTTTACTCTTTTTGCACATAGCCCTCTCCTCAGCGTATCAGGCAGGACATGAAAGGTTCAGCACTTTCTACTTCAAATGTTTCCTTTACTATGGGCATTGCTGTTGAGTAATTGGAATTTCCTGCTTGTTGCATGTAGCTAATTGTGTGATCTTACTTCCAAGAGCTCTGGGCTGTCTCTGGAGATGGTGCTCATTCATTAGGCCTTTTATCCTGTCAAACACCATTAGAATGGTTTGATAGGATTTATCCTTACTGCAATAAACTAGCAGGTTTTGACTTTTTTTATTTTCCATCTGTACAAATTACCTCTATAAGGAGGATGGTCCCAGAGTCTTTCCAGTAGCACAGCTGAGGGTTGTGTGGCTCTCTGGGCTGCTGCTGCAGAGGGAGCAGTGATGGTGCTGCAGCACTGTGAGCCTGAAAGGAGAGAAACATGTGAAGTGTTAAACATCCCCACTTGGTAAGAATGCTGAAAAATTGGAAAAGAGACAGAAAAGCAGCATAGATATTTTGAGACTGGAGCAGAAGCCTTGGACTGGCTTCAGAGGAGGGGAAAGACATGCTATGTGTTGTCTTCAACCCCAGGGGAAAAGCAGTGTGAGAGAGGGGAGTGGATTGCTGCTGTTGCACAAGTGCATGGAGCAATGCCCAGCCTTCCTGGAAAAGAACTGGTAGTCATAGCCACAGCTGTGTGGGTTGGGTTCAGGGAGGCTGGGAAGAGCTCTGGCCTGGCTGGTGTTTGTAGCTGTCCCCCGGCACCGAGCACGGGCTGCTCTGCGCCACGGCTGCTCTGCAGGGAGCTGCTCTCCAGCAAGGCAGAGAGCAAGAGGGACAGCAAGGAGATGGGGTGCTGGGGGAGCATAGAGGTGGAGGGTATACTTGGATCCTTGCTGATCCTCTGGTGAGAGGTCGGACACTGAGCATCCTGTGCCCTGGGTACAAAGGGTCTTACTGTTCCTTGTGTCCACAAACTGATGAGAAGCATTTGGTAGATCCTTGGGAGTTGGGGGCTGAACAAATGAGGTCACCTACAAGCAAGAAAAGCATCAATTTCTGAAGTGCAGTGTTGTTTTCCCCCATGGTGGAGTTGATACTGAAGGTCAGTAGATTCCCTGTGAGCACTCTGCTTCTCAGGGGCTAGCTTGGCTTCGTCTTAAATTGTTGTTTTATTATGGCCATACTCAGCCAGAGGTTAAGGAAGATGCCCTTGGGTACAGGGGCAATAGAAACTTACCCCTTGTGACTATTGCTCTCTCACTTCTTCTTTCTGATAAACAGGAAGTGGGGTTGTTGGCCCAGAATTAAAAGATGAATCTCACACATCTCCTTAAAAGGTCCATGGGGTTTTGTGTACAGATACAACTGCTGTTGTCCATGGAAATCAGAGCCACAGAGATGTGCAGACTGGAGGTGTCTTCTCTAGGCACTTCTGTTGGTTAGTGTTGTGCTGGAGCCAGATAGGCTTTTGGTCTGGCCTCATGTGGCTTGTGTTTGTCATGATTGTCATTGCCCTTGTTGCTTCCAACAGTGCAGGTTCCTGTTAACTGCCCATCAAGCCTGGAGCTATGGCAGAAACTGAGGAGGACATGTAGAATCATATGAGAGCATTACAGGGGTGTTCCTACTTTCCCTGGAACTCCCTTTGCAGCAGGCCTTTGTCTCTTCCCCTTGCACCACTCCTAAGGTGTGTCTTTTCTCCCGTGTCTGTGCTGCAGGGAAATGGGAGTGCCCATGGCATCAGTGTGATGTGTGTGGTAAGGAAGCAGCTTCGTTCTGTGAGATGTGCCCCAGGTCCTTCTGCAAGCAGCACAGGGAAGGCATGCTCTTCATCTCTAAGCTGGATGGACGTTTATGCTGTACAGAGCACGATCCCTGTGGGCCTCATCCTCTGGAGCCAGGAGAAATTCGTGAGTATGTGCCTCGCATAGAAGCTCTGACTAATGGTGAGGACACGCAGCCACCGGAGCAGCTGCCTACAGACACAGACCTGAGTGTTCAGCCCCTGGACAGCCCACCTCAGTCTGTGGCCCTCAGACTGGAGTCACCAGAAAAGCCCCCCACTACCCTAGCACTGAGGCTGCCATCATCAGACAAGCCCTCCACCACCCTTGCCCTGAGGCTGCAGCCGTCAAACAAGCCCCCCACCACCCTGGCCCTCAGGCTGCCTTCACCAGACAAACCACCTGCCACCCTGGCTCTGAGACTGCCACCGTCAAATAAACCCCCTGCCACCCTGTCACTGAGGCTGAAGCCATCCAACAAACCCTCCACCACCCTCTCGCTCCGGCTGCAGCCTTCAGACAAACCTCCCACCACCCTGTCGCTCCGCCTGCAGCCCTCAGACAAGCCCCAGGCTGCCCTGTCCCTGAGGCTGCAGGCAGAGAAGCAGCCCATCATCGTCGCGCTGCGGCCTCAGCAGCCCGACAAACCTCCCTCCAACGCGGTGCTCTGGCCACTGGATGAGTCCTCCAGTGACACCTCGCAGCCTCAGCTGCCGAGCAAATCTCCTCCGGGAAGTCCAGAAACTCCAGAGTTGTTGGAGGAGTCGCTTGTTACTGCCGGTGCCCTGCAGCTCCAGCTGTCAGACGAGCCTCCCACTACCTCCGGGGTGTTGGCGTTATCAGATAAGTCCCTCCTAGACACCAGGACCCAGCAGCCTGAGCTGCTGGATGAGTTCCCCACGAAATGCTTGCATCCTCCACTGTCTGACAGACTTCTTGCCACGGTGGGGACGCTGCAGTCCCAGCCAGTGGATGAGCCTCCCGAGGCTGAGCAGCTTCAACCGCTGGACGATGCTTCTGCCCGGAGTCCGCAGCCGCAGTCTGAGGAAGAGGCTCCCAGCTCTGAGGAGCAGCAGGTCTCAGCATTGGAGGTGGCTTCCAGTCCTGAGGTGCTGTGGCCTCTGCCCATTGAAAAAGTCCCCGACTCCCCGGTCCCACGGATCCTGCCTGCAGAGAAGGCTCCTGGATTGGCAGTGCCACCACCTCTGCCTGCAGAGAAGGCTCCTGGATGGGCAGTGCCACCGCCTCCAGAGGCTTCCTTCTCTGGGGCAGTGCGGGTCCCAGCCACAGAGAAGGCTCCCAGCTCTGGGGCACCCCGTCCCCTGCCTCCGGAGAAGGCTCCTGCCTCGGGTATGCCACGGATCCTGCCCACAGAGAAGGCTCCCAGCTTAGGGACACCGTGGCCTCTGTCTCCAGAGAAGGCCCCTGGCTCCCGGTCACCGCATGTCCTGCCCGTGGAGAAGCCTCTGAGCTCTGGGGCCCTGCGGGTCCCACTTGCACAGAAGGCACTCCCCACTGGGGTGCTACGACCACTGCCTCCGGAGAAGGCTACCGACTCCGGGGCCCTGCGGGTCCTGCCTCTGGAAAAGGCTCTCAGCCCCGGGGTGTCTCTGCCTCAGCTCCTGGAGAGGCCTCTGGCTCTTACAGCCCCGTGGCCTCAGGCGTCGGACAAGTTGGCTGCTGCCGTGGCTCCTCGGCCCCAAGCCTTGGACAAGCCTCTGGCTGCCTCAGCTCCCAGGCCGGTGCTGGT